CTTGTATCCGCTTTGTGCGTTTTTAATGAATTGACATTTTACATTCAAAAAAAATATCAAGGGATTTTCAGCCGTAAGGCGGTGGCTGTTGGCAGTCTGCGGTGGTGGTCGCAGTGAAATGCGGCGGTTGCTTTAAAAATAATACTATTTTAGTTGGTGGCACGCATATATGACTAAGTAATATATATATATTTTTTATTATAATTTATTACCGTGACCATAGATCTCTGTGCAACATTAGTAATACGACAACAATTCCTATTGAATCTATTTGGACCATTTCGATTCCCTATGTCATTGAACATTTTTCAAGCATTGTGCTTAAGGTGACAATTAAGCTATGTGGTAGTGGTGCACCTAATTAATGTAATCGAGTGAAAAATGCTATTCATCCTAGTGGGGATACATTCCCAGTCTATGTGGATGTAAATGATTGATTAAATGATAGGTGAAATTAAATGTAATCGAGTGAAAAATGCTATTCATCCCAATGGGGATGTATCCCCAGTCTACGTGGATGTAAATGATTGGTTAAATGATAGGTGAAATTAAATGACTTATTTAATTTCACCTATCATTTAATGACACATTAACGCCACATAGACTGGGGATGCATCCTCAGTGGGGGTGAATAGTATTTCTCTAATTGAGTTGCAATGCATTTAAAGGAATTGAACAAGAGAGGGTTTTTTATTTCTTGAGAATTAGAAAATCTTAATTCTACCATCATGAGCAATAAATTTGCAGAAAAAATAGACACAAGGATACACGAGATTTATAAAAGTTTGCTTCTGTGTGAAACTACGTCATCTTTCATCGCAAGATGAAAAGAAATGTACAAGAAAAATTTGCACACCATATTTTCTCTTTTTCTTTTTTATGGTAATGCAAAGTCATAACGCGACTCCCTATTTATAGGATAGATTAGTACAAAATCGAAATTATAAGAGTGAAATCTCTAAATTCTATTTAATGAAATTTTGGTCTCATGGCTCCACCGGTGCACCGCCTTCCAACTCTCACTTAGACCTCGTCACAGAGGTCGATCTGTGTACTAGCCCCATATAAAATATATGATTAAAATATTTTAAATTAAAATCTGAATTTCAATTTTGGATAGTTGAGATCTCTGTGAGTGTGCAGGCAGATAGAGGTCACAAACGAAGCAGTGAGCAGATTGGATTCCCTCGAAGCAAAACATGTGAATTTTGTTAACTTTTTCTCTTTTAGGGCCCCACTCAGTCATGACAACCTCGGTACACGAGCACTTTTGTTGACAAAATGGGATTTGCCTAATTTAGTCCCTGTTTGGTCCATTTTTCAAAAAATGCATTTATTTTCAACAACACATTTTTTTATAAAATATTTTTATAAATTCAAAAAAAATATTCTCAAGAAGACATTTTTCAAAAATAACTATTTTAAAACATTTTTTTTTTCCAAAATTTAATTTAGTGAATGCCCAAACACGAGCTTAATGTAAAATACACGTACTTTAATTTAACAATTTTCCTTCATATTCCTGTTGCTGACTTGGTAAGATTTTTCTTTACGACTTGAACTAATTCTTGATCTCAAAAGAAAAAGTGTAAAGTAGATACCAAGCATGTTTGAAGCGGCCGAAGCTTAAAAGTAAATAATAATTTTGTTAACTATTTTTAATGTATACCTTTCTATATTCAAAATATGGGCTAAATTCATTGATGGCTACCCAACTTTATACTTTATATCAACATGGCCACTTAACTTGATTTTATTTCACAATGTCACTCAATTTTATACTTAGGCCCCGTTTGAACCACATTATTTTTTTTTCATTCTCATTCTTCTATTCATTTTTAATCACAAATTCTTCAATAAAATAATATTTTTCATCAAATCAATAACTTTTCCTTCTTTTTCAACAACATATTTCATATCACATCAATAGTAAAAATACATTCTTTTTCAAAAAATGTGTACCAAACGGGACCTTAGTGTCACCATAACTACCCAATTTAATTTTTTTTCACCAAGGCTGTCCAATCTCATATAACGTTTCATTGTGGCCACCCAATTTTATATAGGTAAAGTAGTACCAGTCAGTTGAAGTTTTTATCATTTTCATTAATTTTAAAAGGACTAAAACAATAACTTTGTGTATATATATAAATTAAAATAACAAAAATAAAAATAAAAACTTATTTTAAAAAACAAACTTAAAACGTTTATTTTAAAATAAGTTTTATTTTATTTTATTTTTTAAAGAACATTTTTTTAAAATAACTTTTTATTTTATTTTATTTGTCTAAATAACTTTTTTTAAAATAATTTTTTAGTTTATTGTAAAAACGTTTTTTTTAAATAAGTTTTTATTTTATTTTATAACTAACTTTTTTAAATAAATTTTTATTTATTTTTTTAAATAAATTTTTATTTTAATATTTTCTAAAATAAATTATATAGCCATGATGACACAAAATATAAAGTTGAGTGGGCATGGTAACACTGTTTGACACCCATTTTGGAGAAGAAAAAATTCTGGAATTGTGATTAATGGGGAGAATGCGTGGTTAAAAAGTAAGAAGAATTTTTGGGTTTATGTGTAATATTATTCTATTAATAGAATGTGTGATTGAAATGAAAAAAGTGAAAAAAAAATGAGAGAGAAAATATGAAGAGAATAGATGTCAAACAGAGGCTAAATATAAAGTTTGGTGGCCACCAGTGAGTTTAACCCTCAAATAAACCACATACTTGGTGGACCTTACTTGTTAAGCCTCTTTACCCTTCAATTCAGTACTCATGTTTTTGTTCATGGTATCTCTCTCATACCTAAAATATGCTCTTTTTCACCTTATTTGAGCGTAAACTACAGTCTAACATACATGTGAATGCGAGGGAAATCGAGATCTGTTGACAGCTGAGTCTCATCAAATTTGGAGATCAACTTCTTTCTATTTTGGTCTGGAAAAATGGTTGAAGGAAACGAGTTCTGTTGTTATTTTTCACTAATTCAGTAATTTCTCTTATGGAGAATTGAGAATACAACTTTTTTGGAGTGTAGATATCTTTCCGTCATTTTTATTTCATTTTTCAAAATAATACTTTTTATAATGTAAAGAAAAAGGTCAGAAGAAGTGGCTTTTTTGTTAGCCCCCAGTAGAAATTTTCTAAGAATATAAATTTTGTTAGAAGTTATTTCTTGAAGATGGTGTTGTTGAAAAATCGAAAAAATTATGAGTTCACGTATAATTATTTTATTAGAAAAATGTATAAAATGAATGACGAAGGTTTTAATGTTTTTCACTTTTTTTTTTTTTTGATAACTTAGGTGCTCGAACTTCGTCTGATTAATTTTGAGGAGTGACGGCCTTTCCCCTGGCTTGTCACTCTAATAAATCGGATGCGGTTATATTTTATACACACTTGAGTCCAATATTTGGAAATTAATTTTTCATCCAGTGGACCCCCTTTACGTCATGTAGACAGGACTCTCAGAGGGATGATAATGCTCACCATAACTTTGTTTTTACAAGACATCTGTTTTTCAACATATATATTGCCTTCCAGTTATAAAAGGGATTCACACCTCTGATAGTTCGTAAAAAACCCTTAATATTTCACTAGTGAGCCATCACCGTGGGACTTTTTTTACACATTTTTTTTTTCCTTTTTATCGGTAAATGTAAATGGAGTATTCAATTTCTTGGACTGCATTATGGAAATGACAGGAGCGACGAGTCTCCATAGGGAATACTTTTCTTTAACCTGCCAGCTTTATTTTTTGACTAGTAGTACAAACAAGTTTACTTTACCAATTGATGAGAAGGTACAGTAAGGGAGTGACCAATTGATGAGAAGGTCCAGTGAGGGAGTGACCCTATTGTATTGTTTTAAGTTTTTATGTTCTATATAAACACAGCAAACTGACTCCTTAAGGAGAGATAAACAGAGTGCCCTTCTCATCTACTTGAAGCTTTGCAGCCATGGAAATCCTTCTCAGACCTTTCATTTCTTTGGTACTTCTCTGCTTTACCATTCTCCAAATTTCAGGTACTCTACTTCTTTCCACATTGTTGTTCAAACATGTATACTTTGTTCAATACTGCTTAAGCCTTTACAAAAGGGTCAAACGTATTTACATAAATCTTGTCTTCAACATGTCAATGACGTCACGTAGATCAGATTCGTAGTTACTTAAATCTTGTTAACAACACATCTCGTTACGTGCAAATCAAGTTCAGTTTTGACTACACAGAAGGTGTCAAAAAAACCTAATAATTACTTGTCTAATACTATAAAATCCGACTTATGAGTAAATCCACATGAAAAAAAGTTCATCTAAGCTTAAAAATGAATAAAAGTAAGTTTCTTATGTAACTTTTTATTTCAAATACATTTGAATGACTTCTTGTGAATTTCTTTCTTTTGCTGAAAATGGCTCAATACGGTAGAGGTCTCAGCCACAACAATGACATTGTACAACAAGTGCAGCCACCCAGTTTGGCCAGGCATCCAACCGAGTGCTGGCAAACCCATTCTAGCCCGTGGTGGCTTCAAGCTGCCAGCAAACAAGGCTTATACTCTCCAACTACCGGCTGGGTGGTCAGGCCGCATCTGGGGCCGCCACGGCTGTTCTTTTGATGCCACCGGCCGCGGCCGCTGCGCCACCGGGGATTGTGGTGGTGCCCTCTTCTGTAATGGTATTGGTGGGGCCCCTCCAGCCACCCTTGCTGAGATAACACTTGGTAATGACCAGGATTTCTATGATGTCAGCCTTGTTGATGGGTACAATCTTGCTATTTCTATTACACCCTTCCGAGGCTCAGGTATGGATTCAAATCATTTTTAACTTTTAAAATCACTTATAATTAGTAATAAATCTATTTGTTTACTTCATTTTACAACCTTTATGACTAATAATTAAGAATTAATGGTAATCTACTTGGATCTGTATCTTACCCTTTTAAGATTTTTATACTTGGCTGCCATGATGATGTATAATGCACAAGTAATGAGGATTTTTATTTTTACTATGGACACGTTTTATGTAAAAATTTACCACAGCATATCACATATGATGTAATAACTAATAACTAGAGCCTGTGTCCAAGATATTTTATCAGACGCACTGTTTGTTTTCAGAACCGTCTTTGTCCACTTTCTGTCGCTTTCCCAGAATTCGAACTCAAAAAGACTGTCTTATAAAAATTTTAAGTCGAATTTTGGTATCAAAGTGGACAATGAGAGCTAGTGACTTGGGGATAAAGGTCCAAATCCTTACTATAGTATCCCACTTTTTTAGAAATAACGTTTAATGCAATGCAGGGAAATGTAGCTATGCCGGGTGCGTGAGCGACCTGAACATGATGTGTCCCGTCGGGCTTCAGGTTCGATCTCAAGATAAAAAGAGAGTGGTGGCTTGCAAGAGTGCTTGTTCTGCATTCAATTCGCCAAGATATTGTTGCACTGGCAATTTTGGGAGCCCACAATCTTGTAAGCCCACTGCATATTCAAGAATTTTCAAGACTGCCTGTCCCAAGGCTTATTCTTATGCCTACGATGATCCCACCAGCATTGCCACTTGCACTGGTGGAAGCTATTTGGTCGTATTTTGCCCCCATCACTAGGATCCTTCCTCTCATTATGAGTTCTTTTTTTGTTGGGTTTTAGAATCTTAAATCTTAATTAGTATTATGGATCCTTGTATACTTTATTACTATTTGGAAAATTAATGATTTTGAATACTAGTTGGTGATAACTAGAGATTAGTAATTACATAATAGTAGTAGTGATATTGGAACAATGCTATGTATCACATTAATGGTCTTTGTGAGCGGTTCCCTCGTTCATCATTGAATAAAATTATTATTACGTCACGAAAAGCTAGGATCCATGAAAGAGCCCGTTTAGCCCCCATGGCAAACAGTTCGAGGGCCCTCATAGTGCATGGATGATGCCAGAGGGTCCTATAGCATAGGGCGATCGAGATGCATGCGAGCGACCCGACTCTCCCATAAAAAAACACCTCGACAGACCCCTTTACAGGCAAACTCCATTGACAGAACCGGCTAGAACGAGGCAGTGGCAAAGTCTTGAATGGATCTCACACGAAGTGAGTTGACAAGATAACTCGTTGCCACCGTCGCCGCCGCCATTTTGTTTGGTCAAGTCTAAAAGTACAGGCTAGGATTTATGGACGCAAAACAAGTGATAGCATTTAAAGAAAGGATTGGTTGATGTATTTGACAAGAGAGGGAAGTCGTTCGGATAGGTCACGTGTACTACCATCCTGTGGACTCCATTCATTTTATCAAAGTATAAAAGCTCATACTTAGTGTCATTCGAAGGTAATGCAAGTTTAGACTGTTAAAGCTATATTCTTACTACATCCATTTTTTGGGGTCAACAATTATGATGCATTTTAATGTATTGGATTATAAATTTCAGGACTCACAGGCACCCTAAACTGTCATTTGATAACTTTACTCAATTGAAATATCTTATGGTGAACTTCGATACTTTTTGAATCAAGGAAAAATTATCTATTATAAGCTAAGCAACGAAGAAAAATACATAAATTAATTGGTGAATAGGTACATAGTAGGTTGTGGGAATTAAATGACGCGTTAATTAATTAATATATTATGTCATTTTTACTTAGTATAAACTAATCGACGGTGCTTAGTCGATTATTTTTATAACCTTAAAAATTAGTTTGATCAGTAGTCGCAGTATTTTAATTTTGGATGTTATATGAAGTCATTAACTAGTCTGATATTGAGAGATTGCATGATACATGTCATCGTGCAGAGATAAATTAAGAAAATTATCGAAGGTTGTTTGCGGATTTCAAATGCTCTTGAAGCAATGCAATAGTAGAAGAACAAGTTCGACATTTGAAGAAATATTTTAAGTGAGTCTTTAAGCCGAAACAGGTATACACTTAGAAGAAATGTTCAAGTGAATCCATAAGCTAAAGCAGGAAGTACGTCTTCATCACTTCAAAGAATAAAACATCCCTCGATTACCATAGTTGTACCTTTCTTTTCATCCACTCTCAATCCTCGGCATTTTCCAAAAAGAATAAGCCTTAGGAATTCTCATATTATGACTCTTTCTCTCCGAAGCACTCTTAATCTGTTAAGGTATAAATTCCACATCGAATAAATATCAAAATATAAACCAATTTATAAAAACTTTGGTTACTCTTCTTAATAGAATTGATCTTTTAAAATGAAACTTTAAGTCTTATGGTATCAGATTCCATTAAACTCCATCGAGCAATTAGATCAGATTAAAACTCAAAAAATGATCACACGAATTTCAAGATTGATGAGAGCTTGCAAGGAAAGAAAATAAATTTTAGACAATTCAATTGTCCATAACTAATTTGCATGAAAATTATTAACTAAAGGTGCACTTGATTGTGAACATAAAATTTACATGGGAAGAAAATAAATTCTAAACAATTCCAATTACTTCGAACTTATTTGAATGAAATTTATTAATTAAGAGCTTGTTTGGGAGGGATTTTTGGGGGTAGAATTGATTTTGAATAGTGATATGATGGGAAATGTGTGGTTGAAAAAGAAGAAAAAATTATTGATGTGATGAAAAATATTATTTTATTGAAAAATGTGTGGTTGAAAATGAGAATTGATTTCCTGTAGGAAAATCAAAATCTCTCCAAAACAGGGCCTAAATGTGTTTGATTGATTTAGTTTTCAACCTAAAAAATATTATACTTGTTCATTTTTTATTGGTGGGTAGATGAGTGAGATAACAAATGAGAGAGAGAAAGAGAATCCGTAAAGAAAATATTTTCCTTCGAAAAATTTGTCAATCAAACAGCACAGAAATAAGATATTAGATGAAAAAACACATTTTGAATGAAAAATATTGACAATCAAATGCATCGTAAATGTGTTTCATTGATTTAGTTTTCAACCTAAAAAATATTATACTTATTAATTTTTTATTGGTGAGTAAATGATAGAGATGAGAGAGAGACAGAGATTACCTGAAAAATAAAAAACACCCACCACCACTAAAGAAAATATTTTCATTATTTTTGAAGAAAATATGATCATATGAAAAAAAAAAGTTAGAAAATATTTTCTACAAAAAAAATTATCAATCAAACATTCCAAAGTAAGAACTTGAGTGAAAAAAATAACATATTCCATGAAAAATAAAGTCAATCAAATACATTCTTAGGGTCTGTTTGATTGCAAAGATAAAATTTGAGTGGAAAGAAAATGAATTACAATGAATTGCTTAAAATTTGTTTTACTGAGAATTGTAATTACTTGTGTTTAATTGATTTAATTTTTCACCTATAAAATTTTGAAAGTTTGGTGTCCCTTTGACTTTGTTTTTTATGAAAATTGTCCATTAAAGTGATAAGATTTTTACCATTTGGTTTATAATTTGTTTCAATTGCCAAAAAAA